AAAATTATCTGAGTGATTCTAAGAATGCAAGGTTGGTTCAATATTAAAAAAGTCAATCAATTAATCTATCATATCAATAGGCTAAAGAAGAAAAATCACATGAGCATACTGATTGATGCAAAAAAAGCATTAGACAAAAATTCAATACCCATTCATGATAAAAACTCAAAAACTCAAGGAAACTTCCTCAACTTGATAAAAAAAAATCTACAAAATCCTACAGATAACAGTACACTTAATGATGAACAATTGAATGCTTTTCCTTTAAGATTGCGATGAAGGCAAGGATATGTCTTCTTTCACCACTCTTATTCAACATAGTATTAAAGTACTAACCACTGCAAAAAGGCAGGAAAATACATAGAGATTGGACAAGAAGAAATAAAACTGCCCATATTTTCAGATAACGTGGTTTTCTACATTGAAAATTCCAAGGAATCTGCAGAGAAACTTCTAAAACTAATAAGTGAGTTCAGCAAGGTCACAGGATATAAGATAAACATTCCAAAAATCAATTGTACTTCTATATACTGGCAATGAAAATATTGATAGCAAAATTAAACTAGAATACCACTTACAGTAGCTCAAAAAAAGAAGACATACCTTGTATTTTGTAGGTGTAAATCTAACAAAATGTGTACAGAACATACATGCTGAACATTACACAAAGGTAATAAAAGAGATCATAGAATATTTAAATATGATATACTATGTTCACAAATTAGAAGCCTCAGGATAGTAAAGATTTCAGTTCTTCCCAAAGTGACATACAGGTTTAATGCAATTCCTATCAAAAACCCAGCAAGATTTTTTGCAGGTACAGACAGATTACTCTAAAATTTATATATAAAAGCAAAGAGACTCGAATAGCTAAAACAATTTTGTAAAAGCAGAATAAGGTGGATGGAATCAGTCTACCTGATTTAAAGATTTATTATATAGCTATGAAGACTGTGTGGTAGTGGTGGAGAGACAGATACAAAGATCAATGTAAAAGAAAAGAAAACCAAGAAATACACCCAGTCAAATATGTCCAACTGATTTTTCACAAAGGTACAAAACCAATTTAGTAGAGGAGAGATAGCTTTTTCAACAAATGGTACTGGAGCAATTGGACACCCATAGCCAAAAAAATGAAGCTCTATGTAAATCTCACACCTAATGGAGAAATTAATTCAAAATGGGTTATGGAATTAAATGTGAAGCATAAAGCTATAAAATCTTTAGAATAAAACCTAGGAAAAATCTTTGGGATTTAGAGCTGTGCATAGAATTCTTAGACTTAAAACCAAAAGCACAATCCACAAAAGGAAAACTGACAAATTGCACTTCATCAAAATTTAAAACTTTTGCTCTAAAAAAGACCCTAATAAGAGGATGAAAACAAAAGCTACATAGTGGGAAAAAATATTTGCAAGCCATATATTTGATAAAGGACTAGTATCTGAATATATGAGGAACTCCGAATACTCAACATTAAAAAAACAAACAATTCAATGAGAACATGGACAAAAGACATAAAGAGACATTTCATCAAAGACACACAGATGGCAAACAAGCACACAAAAAGATGTTCAACTTCAGTAGCCATTAGGGAAATGCAACTAGACCATGATACAGCACTACACACATATCAGAATGGCTAAAATAAAAAATAGTCACAACACCAAATGCTGACAAGAACGTGGAAAAACTGGACCATTCATACATCGTTGGAGGGAATGCAAAATGGTACAGACACTTGGGAAAACAGTTTGGCACTTTCTTAAAAAACTAATCATGCAACACACCATATGACCCCAAAATTGCATTCCTGGGCATTTACAGAGTAATGAAGACTTATGTTCACACAATAACCTGTACACACATGTTTACAATAGCTGTATTTGTAATATAAAAAAACTGGAAATAACCCAGATGACCTTCAATGGATAAATGGTTAAACAAACTGTGTTATACCAATAACACGGAATACTACTCAGCAATGTAAAGGAATGAACTACTAATACAGGCAACAGTATGGATGAATCTCTAGAGAATTATGCTGAGTGAAAATATCCAATCCCAAAAGGTTGCATACTGTATGATTTTATTAATGTAACATTCTTGAAATGAAAAAATTATAGAAATGGAGAACAGATTAGTGGTTGCCAGGGGTTAAGGAGGGGTTGGAGATAGGAGGGAAGTATATAGGGCTACACGAGGGCAATATGATGGATCCTGTGATAGAAATGTTCCATATCTTGCCTGAATCAATATCAATATTCTGGTTGTGATATTATACTATAATTTTGCAAGATGTTACCATTGGGGCAGACCAGGTAAAGGATACACAGGATTTCTTTGTATTATACAATTGTATGTGAATTTATAATTATCTCAAAATAAAAAATTTAATTTAGAAAAAATTATTTAAGTGTCTCCTATATGCAGAGTACAGTTGAAGAAATACAAAGATAAGTCCTTGCACTTGAAATTACAGTTTATTGTGGAGATAAACATATATACATAACTAAAATCCAAGGCAAAAAAAATTTGTCAGGAGTATTTTATGAGAATTAACCTGACTACTTCACATCCATTGGGATAGCTATTAGGAAAAAAAAGAAAAACCAAAACTAAAAAATAAGTGTTGGCAAAGATGTGGAGAAATCAGAACCCTTGTGCACTGTTGGTGGAATGTAAAATGGTACAGCTGCTGTGGAAAATAGTATGGAGTTTCCTTAAAAAATTCAAAATAGAATTACCATATGATCCAGAAGTCCAACTTCTGGGTATTACCCGAAAGAATTGAAAGCAGGGTCTTGAAGAGCTATTTGTACACCCATGTTCATAGTAGCATTATTCACAATAGCAAAAACACTTGGGAAGCAACCCAAGTGTCCATTGACTGATGAGTGGATAAGCAAAATATGGTATATTCATACAATGGAATATTATTCAACCTTAAAAAGGAAAGAAATTCTGCAATATGCTACAACATGGATGAACCTTCAGGACATTATAAGTGAAATAAGCCAGTCACAAAAAGACAAATACTGTATGATTCCACTTATATAAGGTACTAAGAGTAGTCAAAATCATAGCAACGGAAAGTATAATAGTGATGGCCAGGGGCTGGGGGGAGGGGAGAATGGGGAGTTATTGTTTAATAGGTATAGAGTTTCAGATTTATAAGAAGAAAATAATTATGGGCATGGATGGCTGTGATGGCTGCACAACAATGTGAATGTATTTAATACCAGTGAATGTAAACACTTAAAAACGGTTAAGATGGGGAAGATTATGTTAGATGTATTTTAACACAATAAAAGAAAAAAATACTAAGAGAATAGTAAATAAGCTACAAAACTTGGAGTAAACATCCTTAAAATATTAAAAAACTAATATAAATCACTATCAACTTCATATATAGCTCTACTGCTAAGGGTAATGATTTTAAAGCTTAAAGAAGATTACTGGAATATACCCTACTTGGTCACAGCGTATCATTATTTTAATAAGCTTTGGGATAACATTTTCTGATATTTCATCTTTATATTGTTTCAATTGTTATAACAACATGTTTTACTTTTCCAATTTGAAAACACCAAGTAAAAATGTTTTTAAAGAAAAAATTAAGGACATATTATTTGAATTTTTACAGTATCTATTCATGAGTTACTTTCTTCATTAAAAAATTCATGCTGAAACAAAAAATAATTTAGGGAAGTGTCTGAGAATGCTGGCATATATTACTTTATTAATAAAATATTAACAGGGCTGGCCCTGTGGCGTAGCGGTTAAGTGTGAACAGTCCGCTGTGGCGGCCCAGGGTTCGGATCCCGGGCGCGAACCGATGCACTGCTTGTCAAGCCATGCTGTGGCGGTCTCCCATATAAAGTAGAGGAAGATGGGCATGAATGTTAGCCTAGGGCCAGTCTTCCTCAGCAAAAAGAGGAGGATTGGCAACAGATGTTAGCTCAGGGCTAATCTTCCTCACACAAAAAAAATAATAATAAAATAAAATATTAACAGTAGATTCTTATAGAAACCAACTAGACACACGATACTCAAATGTATCACATCCTCCTAACAAACATAGGCTAACAAAATAAGAAGTTCAATAGGGTTTAGTAGTAACAGAAATCTAAACATGACCAAAATTTGTTGATATTTCAATTACACTATGCAAATTGTACACATTTCCCTTTAGGATCTGGGCTACATCTATCTCTCCAGATGCATCTCCAGCCACTTTTACCCATGCATGGTTCACTGGCCATTGCAACTTACCTACCATTCACTCAAGAATTCATTTATACCTCCATACTATTGCCTATGTTCTTGTTCTCTATGAACGGGGTACCTCATCCCTTCTGAGCTCAGTAGTATAGAGGAGTTCTATATACTATACTCAGTAGTATAGAGTAGAGGAGTTCTCATCTCTTTATGAACTCCTCCCCAAAACACATAGGCTGAATAGGAATTCCCTCTCTAAAACCTTGAGTATTTCTTATTAGTATAACATTCATCCCAAATTATTTGTATGTCATCAGTGGGAGGTCCTTGAGGGCAGGAGCCTGTATCTTTTCAACATTATATTCACAGTGACAAGCAAAATATCAGGCACACAGTAGATACAATCAAATGAATTACAGTTTGAAAGAACCCAGTAATTAGTAAATAAATTTAGCTTAAAAGAATATCATTAAAATTATAACTTATCTGGGTAAACCTCAACCTCATGGTTCTTTGTGGATTGCTATGTCAATGTGTTTTATAATTCTTCTGGTTAGAAGTAAATGCAAATTACATACTCAAAGAGTTTCTGTTATGTTCTTGAATTGTTTGGAGCACAGTGGTCATAAATTAATCTCTTAGATTTTAAAAATAAAATCTTAAGTTGAAAGACATGGCTTAATGTAATATTTTACAAAAAAGAATTTGTTTTTCTAAAATTGTAGTAATTTTATAATAATAGTAATATTAAAAGTACCATTTAAAAACGTATTACATACCATTTCTATTTCTTGATCTTTAGCAACCAGCTGTCGATTAAGAAGTTCTTTGCTTGAGTCAAGTTTAATACAAAGCTCCCTTGTAGAAGACAAATCTGCAAGGGCAGACACTTTTTCAAACTGAACCTTCTGAAGCTCCTCTTCCATCTTTACAACAGACTTATGTAAAGTAGAAATCTGGGACTTGTAAGACCTTTCTGCATTTAAGTGCTGCAAGGACAAAATTTTATATCTATATACATATATATACATATATACAAATATATATACATGTACATACACATATATATACATTTTTAACTTAAAAAAACTACAACATGGAAAACAAAGTGGGGCAAATCTTTCAATGATAGTACACATAGATTATAAAGAACTTTAGATTATATAGGTGGTAATAGTATGTACAAAACATTCTGGGAAAGATAAACTTGGGTTTCAAATTCCTACACATAAAATCCATGAGTAAGGTGGTCAACTGGTCATTCTTTCAAGTGTACTTAGAAAAACACTTTTCCACTTAAAAGTCTCAGACCCAAAGCTAGTAGAGATATACACATTGGGTCTATAGTTTTGTTTATATTTGCCAGTTTCAATTATTCTATAATATAAATATTATTGTTGTTAAAGACAAAACACTAGTCACTGTTTCACTCACAACAGCCCTTTTCCAAGTCTTGAACGGCATGTTGATATTGATCATAATAGCATAAAATGAGGACTGATAACTCTCTAGCACTTACTAATACCGCTAGGGAAAAAGACTCTGGGCAAGTATAAATTAAGAATAAACCCACATTATGGGAAATCAGAGCATGTTTTAAAAACTTTAATATGAGGGGCCGGCCTGGGGACACAGTGGATAAGTTCACGCACTCTGCTTCGATGGCCTGGGGTTCGTGTGTTCGGATCTCAGGCACAGACCTACACATGGCTCATCAAGCCATGCTGTGGCGGCATCCCACATACAAAAATAAAGAAAGATTGGCACAGATGTTAGCTCAGGGTGAATCTTCCTCAAGCAAAAAGAGGAAGATTGGCAACAGATGTTAGTTCAGAGCCAATCTTCCTCACAAAACAAAATAAAACAAAAAACTGTAATATGAGATTCAAGTTATATAAATGCTTTCAAACATTCAAGATAGTTCCAGACCTCCTTTTTTTTTCAGAAAAAATGTCTTATGTAAGTGCACTGTCACCTACAGAGAAGTATTTGCTATTATGTGAAGCTAACAGAACTGAGAGGCAAATAAAGAATTTTTTCTGCTTTTACAAACAAGTGCTTTTTCAAGTACAAAGCACAAAAAATTACTAACAGATTAAGTTATTTGGCTACAATTCACTCCTACCTTTTTTCTTCCCTTCCTTCCTTATTCACTCTATTTCTCACTCATTCTTCAAACAACCTTCTATCCATCCATCCACCCACACATCTATCCATCCACTCCATATTTACTGAGTATATTCTATGTTCTAGTCAATGTGCCTAGATGCATATCCAATGGTAAACAAAATGGTCTCTGCGCTCATGAAACTTACAGATTATGGGGGAGTCATGCATCAATCAAATAATCATGCAGATGAATATGTATAAATACATATTAAGCAAATACTTCTAGAGAAAAAAGTGTATAACAAAGCAAAGTGACCTAGACTGAGAGGGTCAGGGAAGTCAGGAAAGGCTTCCTTGAGTAAAGGACACTTGAGCTGAGATCTGTAAGGTGAGCAGGTATACAATATGTGTTGGGGAGGGCAGCTTTTCAAATCAAAGAAATTCTAAATGCAAAGGCCCTGGAGGGAGTGTGTGGAGGAAGTGAAATGACATGCTCCAAGAACAGAGAGAAGGCTAGTATGGCTGGAGCTCAGACACCACAGGGAAGAGTGATAGGAGATGCAGTTGAAAAGGTTTACAAAACTTATAAGACAGAGCCTAGTAAATTGGGTTAAAATTTAAGTCTTTATCCACTGAAAAGTCTTAAAGAGAGCGGTGAGGTGATGAGTTCTGTGTTTTGGAAAGATCACTCTGGACGTTTCAAGTTCTAGTAAGATAGTTGATTAAGCTAAGAGGAAAACTTTCTGGATAAAATAGAACAAAAAAACATATTTTTGCAATTCATAGCTGAGTTTTCAGGGAAAAAAGAGAAATTTTCACATGCCAAAAGCAAAGAGAAAACAGGCTAAAGCAGGAAGCAAATGAGCAGGCCTGAAGCTAAGGGTTGGAGGTAGGAAGACTCAGTAACAGCAAATGGCTTATGTTTCAACATTCAAACAAGGATAGGAGACAGGAATTTATGACTAATGGAGAGCTGGAACTGAGACCTCTATATAATATGGAATCCTTAAAAAGAGGCTCCAGAAGAAAAAATCCACTCAACTTCACAGAGAGACAACCAAGAGTTTATCTTCACCTGGCTTTTGGATAGGGAAAAAATGTCTTCTGTAAGAAACTGAAATGTTAGGTCTAACTTCACTCAATTTTGGACTCTGACGTTACATTACCCCTCCCCAATTTTAAACTTGAACATAAAGTTTGTCCCATGCCAATGATAACCCAGAGTCCCTTTATGGAAGCAAACCCATCTCCCTAGCCATGCAAGATTCTACAGAGGAGGAAAAGTCCTGCTTAAGAGGAGCTTATAATCAAACACAGGAGGACACAGTCCACCATGAGTGTGAGTCAGAGCAACAAAACATATAGCAGGTTCAGACTTCTAGAACTTCAAATTATTGAACAAAATATTTTAGAAGGCATGGTAAAATATGCTTAAAACTTTTAAAGATATTAAAGAAAAAATTGAAAAGAAAAGAATAAGACATAAAAAACAGGCATATTTGAAGAAGAATCAAATAGAATTTCTGGAAATAAAGGAAAAGTAGTCAAGAAAATGAAAAATTTAATGAATGCATCAAAGAACAGGCTAGTACAGCTGAAGACAGAAGAATGAACTAGAAGATAGATCACAGCATAGAGTGATAAACATATGGAAACTATGATAAAAAGATTAATAAATATTTAGACTAGAAGATTCAAAAAGCATATTACAAAAGTTGAAGGAGATAATAGAGTGAATTTGGAGGCAGTAATATTCAAAAAAATAACATCTGAGAAAACTAACAAAAGGCATGAATACTCTGACTGAAAAAGTGCAACAAAACCAAAGCCTCACCAAAAAATAAGTCCATACCTAGACATATAATAGTGAAACTACAAACAAAGAGAAAGAGAAGATCTTAAAAGGAACCAATGAGAAAAGATAGATTTAGAAAGAATGACAATTAGAATGAGAACAGACTTCTCAAAAGGCAACAATTATTTTTAAAGTAATCAAGAGAAAATAACTCTCAACCTAGAATTCCATACTCAGCTAAACTAATACTGAAGAATGAAAGTAAAATAAAGCCATTTTCAGACAGAGGCTGAGAAAATTAACTCACAGATCAAAGAAAGGAAGTACTGTGAAGAAAGGAGCTTGAACTTAGAAGAAAGAAATGCAATGCCAAAAGCAACGACGATTGAAGAATTTCACAAACATATGAGTGGATACAAGTAAGCATTGACTGAAAGAATAAGAACAATAGTAATGATTTATTTCATTTATTTATTTTTTTTGAGGAACACTGGCCCTGCACTAACATCTGTTGCCAATCTTCCTCTTTTTTCTTTTTTCTCCTCAAAGCCCAGTACATAGTTGTGTATCATAGTCGTAGAGTTGTAGCTCATCTATACGGGATGCTGCCTCAGCGTGGCTTGATGAGCGGTGAGTAGGTCTGTGTCCAGGATCTGAACCAGTGAACCCCAGGCCACCGAAGCGGAGCATGCAAACTTAACTGCTACGCCACCAGGCTGGCCCCCTGATTTATTTTTAAGGATATAAAAAAACAACGTAAAACTAAAATAGTACACAATAATATTATTAAAGACTGGTGTGTGTGTGTGTGTGTGACAGAGGGAGAATAAGAGAGGGCACACATGCACTATTAAGCAGAGTGTTGTGCTCAATACTCAAATATTCTCAGGACCGTGTGTTCTTTAGGAGGAGGGCTGGAGATACTGACGACAGACTCTGTTAAATATGCCTATTACAATTTCAACTCCTAAAAGAATAGATGGAGAAAATATAAGTTCCAAACCAATGAACAATGGGGGTAGGAAGTATGTAAATAAAACAAACACATAGACAGATAAAAGGAAAGAAAGAAACATAAAAGAATCATGACAAGTAGCAAGTACAAAATAAAGCAGTAATAGTAAACTTAAATGTGCCAGTAATTCAAATAAATACAAATGGATTAAACTTATCAGTTAATAGAAAGATATTCTCAGATTGAATTTTTTAAAAATCAAGCCATATGATGTTTATTAGAGACAAACAGTTGAAAAGGATTTTTAAAAGATATATAATATTTCTGTTTTTGATAAGATAAGATAACTGGCACTGAACTTATCTTCCCACTGTTAATAACTAGGAAACTAGTTAAAAAAAAAAAGAAACGATTGCTTCCACGCATTGGACAACAGGCAGCATAGGACTGTGATCTCTGAGAGAAGAAAAACAAACAAGATGAGCCCTATGATCATCTCAGCTTTCCATCTGGAGACACTTTCCAGTCTGTGGCTCAGGGAAGGAAACTTCAGTCAGAGCATAGTTGTTCCGCTGAGTTGAGAAAACAGAAATAAGCATCTGAAATGTGTGGGATAGAGTTCCAGAAACAAGGGATCTGCCCAAAAAAGATATCCAGAAATTTCCCTAGAAGTCTCCTTGAGTCTGTTGCTAGACACTAAGCCATGAATATACATAGAGTGAAACTCCAGAAGGCTGGGAAAGAACAACCAGAGAGCTCTAAAGTAAACAATCCTAAAGCTGATACACAGTTGGGGAGATATCAAAGTTTGAACCTGCCAAAGTGAAGAGTCCTTAATGAACATGCTGGGCTGGGCATTCAATAGAGAATCCAGAAGGGTCACACCTCAACGTAGGGCTAAACTAGTCTTACATAAAATGCTACTTTAAACCTGCCCTAGCAAAGCTTAAAAACAATCTTGCAAGTATCAGTTGATCCCTAAGTAATTTAACAGCCTGCTAGAACAAATACAATGCTCTTAACAGAAGACCAAAAAATCCAATGTTCAAAAAAGTAAAATTCACAATGTCCACACCCAATTAAAAAACATCAGACTTGCAACGATGCATGAAAATGTGACCCACAAGCAG